AAAAAGTCCCGCTGGGTTTCTTGCTGGTTCTTCCCAGGACAGAGGTTTTTTTTCGAACCAGTGGTAATTATACAAAAGAGTGACTTTCAATAAGTATTATTGCATACCTTAAGCGAAAGCGCAAGGTATGTTCTACTATTGCCTAAAAATTAAGATTCCGAGATTTGTTAGAAAGATAAATGATTGTTGAACTTATTAATTTTTTTTTTTAAATCGAGTTATTGCTATTTTTAAATAAAAAAGGGGTTTTAGTGGCTTATGGTGTGGATTTATCATGTCCGCAAGGCTTGTAAACACTCTAACTTTTGAAAATATCAAAACCACTGAATGTAAAGGTGAGTATAGACTACAACATTTACTTGTAACAGAACAATGAGCCGCTCTGTGATATGTTCTAGTGTATCATCCTTTCACGAACTAACCGTCAAGCAAGCTCACCTCTTTGTTACAAACCAACGAGCATATGGGTGTAACATTTCGTCGAGCCACGAGTGCGGGCGATGCGCGGTTGCGGGGTGACGCGGAGGGAGAGGGGCGAAAGACGCACGCGGTCCGCGCGGTCGTTAGTTGTTCAAGTTGACGCTGTGATTTTACACGTGCATTGCATTAGCTCGTTATTTATACTTATTATCTATTTTCTATTCAACTATGTCGTGGGATAGTGAAAAAACTTTGTTTATTGAAAAATACAGGAATCATGTAGTTTTATGGGAGCCTAATCACGCTCAACATTACAATAAAATATTAAAAAACGACGCGTGGCAAGATATTGCTGCCGAAAAGGAGATTTCTGCTGATGACTGCAGAAGAAAAATGACAAGCCTTCTAGCTTCTCTTCGAAGAGAAAAAATGAAGATTGAAAAAAGTGTTGGCACTGGAAAAGGTTAGTGATGATAATAAATGCAAATATACATAGCACAGCAGATATATTCAGTTTGGATAAAATTATTACGTAAATGAAAAAGACGAATTTTATTTTAATTGTTTTTTTTTATTTACGTTTATAGGAGCAGATGAAATTTACAAAAGGTCGTGGTTTGCGTACCAAAGCTTACAATTTATGCTGGATAGGAATAAACCACGTCCCGTTGATGATTCGGTGGATTATTATTTTAAAGGGTATTTCTATATTAAAATTTGTAAGTACCTACGCATATTGGTTTTGCCACTCTAACGCGCCTTCTTGAGAACAGTATTCAGCAATTTCATCTCTCATTATTTTTGTAAAAGCACTTTCTGATAAGTTTCGATGTTGATTTGGAAGCGGAAGAAATGATGCATGGCCCTCTTTATCATCACTGGTATTATTGTCTTGTGAGATGTTTTCTTGTAAGCATATTCCTTCTGAATTCCTTCTAATGAAATTGTGCAAATGACATGTGCACTTTACAAACAATTTAGCTTTATCGGGGTTCAATAATATAGGCTTTCGCAAAACACGGACGATAGTAGTCCAAACACATTCTCAACTACGCGCCGAGCTCTACAGAGTCGGTAATTTAACAATCTTTTAGTAGATCCTTTGGGATGCATTCCAGAGTAAACCTTCATCATATTTTGCATCAGAGGGAAAGCTTCATCGCCAATGAAATAAAATGGCATTAACATTTGCCTACCTGGCAGTGTAGAGGGCTGTGGCAAATTCAATGATTCATCTTGTAGTTTTTATATAACATACTGTTATGTAATACTCCACCGTCTGATATTCGTCCTTGGCAACCTATATTAATGTAAATAATTTTATAATTTGCATCCACTACTGCCATAAGTACAATACTAAAAAAAAAAACCTTATAATTATAAAATTCACTGCCACTTGCAGGTGGTGCTTGAATTACTATATGTTTTCCGTCAATGGCGCCTATACAATGGGAGAATTGCCATATTTTCTCATAACCTTCTGCCACTTGTAACCACTCCTCATGTGAATTTGGGATCTGCAAAAAATATATATATTTTATAATTTGAGGCTAACAAGACCGAGGAAAATCACATGCAGGCTACTACGGCTGATTGCGAGTCGCAGTCAGCACATCCTATAAAAAAGAAAAGGAAAATGGAATCTAAAACCAATACAGATGACGACAAAAAAATGGAAATTGCATTTGATATATTGCAAAAAACCGCTATGAAAATTGATTTTAATAATGACGAGTTAGCAAGTTACGGTACTTTTATCGCCAATAAATTAAGAAAATATAATGAAGGGACCAAAAACTATGTGCAACATCTTACATCGAATATACTTTTTAGCGCTGATCAAAGAGAATTTAACTATCCCCGTGGATACAGAGATATAATTATGGGAATGAAACATCTCGAGGATATAATACACCTTCAACATCAAATGAATCCTTTGTAAGTCAGAACCGACCCTGTGACTCAAATACAAACAGAGGCTACACTTCCTCTATCGAAGAGACTAGAGCAGCTGCAACTTCCAATGAAGTCGAGGTCCGAGTCGAGCCGGTGAAGCAGATACAGACGGGGGCGATACTCAAGATAGCAGTAACTTTGATATGATGAGTCAGATCTCAGATTATTTTAATGATTTGAATTGATCTTAAATAAAGTATAATGATACTCACGTGAATGTTTTCTTTCAGTTCCTCTGTTATTGCTTCACATACTTCTGGAATTATCTTCCCAATACTATGTCTTGATATTCTAAAAATATACTGTAAACTAACGAAGGAATCACCTGTAGCTAAATAACGTATAGTTAATGCTAATCTCTCCTTCGCCGTAATTGAAACTGAATTGTGTATTTTGCTTTAATATTTTTATTTTAGCACCAATTGAATTCAATAAACTTTCAAAATCACTTAAAGATAGGGCAGTAAAGTTCTTATATTGACCACTTAATTCCTGCGATTTTAAGTTTAACATTAATTGCACACCTCCCAGAGTTTGTCTTCTATTGTAAATGTTCATTTGCCACCTTCTTCTATTTCTATTTTTCTTTTTTCTTCTAATATAATTCATCAAGATAAACGCAGCACACGCAACGTGTAGGTCCGACATTTCAAAAAAGAATGAACGCAGGGTACAACGAAATGTTGGTAAATGCACACTCGCTGTGAGCATTTACCCGTAACATAACGCCGAGCATTCGCAGGAACGTTACATTACATGGAAATGCTTTGGAAACTGAGCTTTTGCCTGTATTGTACCATTCGTAAGAACGTTACATTACACACAAATGCTCCAGAAAATGTTGTAGTCTATACTCACCTTAAATGGCAGTGTAATTTTGTTTTGTTTAACTATAATTAATTTTTTTCGGCTCCAAAATGGCGAAATTTTCGTTCATTTGGTAACCTTGTAATGTAAATTACTTCGGTAAATAACGTAAAGCTAAACGTAAGCTACAGCCACAGAGTAGTTTAGTAATTTAGTTCGGCTTCAGTCGCCGTCGTGAGTGGACATTGTTTCGGTTGTATGCAGCGGCTCAAAAAGATCGCTGTACAATACACAATATTCGAATAACCAAATTTCTTAAATACTTGATTATAAATAATAATAATAAGAATTTTTTTATTACAATATTTTAAAAGCACAGAATAAATAATAGTAGTACGTACTAAAAGTAAGTAGTATAAATTTTTTAGTCATGGGTGACATTTTCATGGTTTTCGAGGGTGTTGAAACCGATAGGGATATCGAAATGTAAAGCCAAGATGGCGGCTGCAATAGGTATCAATTTTTTCATCATGGGTGTAATTTTCATGGTTTTCGAGGGTGTTGAAGCCGATAGGGTTGACGAAATGTAAATCCAAGATGGCGGCTGCAATAGATATCAATTTTTTCATCATGGGTGTCATTCTCATGGTTTTCGCGGGTGTTGAAGCCGATAGTGCTGTCGAAATGTAAATCCAAGATGGCGGCTGCAATAGGTATCAATTTTTTCATCATGGGTGACATTTTCATGGTTTTCGAGGGTGTTGAAACCGATAGGGTTGTCGAAATGTAAATTCAAGATGGCGGCTGCAATAGGTATCAATTTTTTCATCATGGGTGACATTTTCATGGTTTTCGAGGGTGTTGAAACCGATAGGGTTGTCGAAATGTAAATCCAAGATGGCGGCTGCAATAGGTATCAATTTTTTCATCACGGGTGTCATTTTCATGGTTTTCGAGAGAGTTGAAGCCGATAGGGTTGACGAAATGTAAATCCAAGATGGCGGCTGCAATAGATATCAATTTTTTCATCATGGGTGTCATTCTCATGGTTTTCGCGGGTGTTGAAGCCGATAGTGCTGTCGAAATGTAAATCCAAGGTGGCGGCTGCAATGGGTATCAATTTTTTCATCATGGGTGTCATTTTCATGGGTTTCGAGGGTGTTGAAGCCGATAGTGCTGTCGAAGTGTAAATCCAAGATGGCGGCTGCAATGGGTATCAATTTTTTCATCATGGGTGTCATTTTCATTGGTTTCGAGGGTGTTGAAGCCGATAGTGCTGTCGAAGTGTAAATCCAAGATGGCGGCTTAAGTAGGTATCAATTTTTTCATCATGGGTGTAATTTTCATGGTTTTCGAGTGTGTTGAAGCCGATAGTGCTGTCGAAATGTAAATCCAAGATGGCGGTTGCAATAGATATCAATTTTTTCATCATGGGTGTCATTTTCATGGTGTTCGAGGGTGCTGAAGCCAATAGTGCTGTCGAAATGTAAATACAAGATGGCGCCTGAAGTAGGTACCAATTTTTTCATCATGGGTGTCATTTTCATGGTTTTCGAGGGTGTTGAAGCCGATAGTGCTGTCGAAATGTATTTAAACTACTTTAAAAATACCGTATAATCATGTTGTAGTAATTTTTTTAATGCACTCAATTGGATTTACCAATATTTTTTTTTTACTATAGTTACTAGTGGCCAGTTCTAAAAACTTTGAGTGCCGCTCTCGTAACTATATTTGTAGATCGTCAGTCAGTCATTGTTACCTATTTCATAGTACTTATTAAAGTAGATCAAAATAAAAGGGCATCGTTTGGATTGTAGACCTATTACGGATTTGACCCGAGTGCACTGGAGGACGAGGTGGACCGCACGGCTGCGGCGGCCATGGTGCGCACGTACGGGCAGGCGCCGCGCCAGCTGCTGCGCACGCCGCACCCGCACGCCGCGCGGGACCTGCTGCCGCGCACGCAGGTCGCACGCACACGCACACCACTACATACACACGCACGTACACATGTACACACACACACCTACATTACGTGTACTACGTACACTCGTGCATGCCAATGAATTTTATGTCTACTAGTAGACAGGCGGCAATTCAAAACAAAAATTGTGTTACGGAATTGGATTGTGCGGGCGTGGACTTGGCCGGCACCTGGGCGGTAGCTGGCACGATAAATATGCCACGCAGTTTGACGACAGTAACTGTTTTAAGGCAAAAACTAAATAAACTTACAAAGTTCGCAAACACTAAATAAAATCAGTGTTAGATTGTCGAAAACAATATACGCGATTTACAAAACAAATAATTAATGCTTTCGCCCTCTTGCAGTCGATTAAAAGAGTTATTCTACATAGTATACATAAAAGTGTTTGGTGCGTGCATACACTTAGACGCGCACATACGTATTACAGCTGATAGCCTCGGACAGCATGCTGACTGCTTGGTCTGTTTGCAGAGTGAGGTGATGGCGGGCGTGTCGGGCATACAGTGGGGGCGCTACTGCGGCTCGCCGGCACTGGGCGCGCCCGCAGTGGCGGCGCGGCGCGTGTGCGGCGGCGCGGCGCGTTTGATCCCGCTGGGCGCGCCGCGCCGCCGCACCGTGGCCGCGTGCCGCGCGCACACCGCGCTGCTGCCGCTGCCGCTGCCGCAAGGTAACCGCGCCCACACTACCCACACGCTCAGCAAGCGCCTGGTGCCGCGCCGCCGCACCGTGGCCGCGTGCCGCGCGCACACCGCGCTGCTGCCGCTGCCGCTGCCGCAAGGTAACCGCGCCCACACTACCCACACGCTCAGCAAGCGCCTGGTGCCGCGCCGCCGCACCGTGGCCGCGTGCCGCGCGCACACCGCGCTGCTGCCGCTGCCGCTGCCGCAAGGTAACCGCGCCCACACTACCCACACGCTCAGCAAGCGCCTGGTGCCGCGCCGCCGCACCGTGGCCGCGTGCCGCGCGCACACCGCGCTGCTGCCGCTGCCGCTGCCGCAAGGTAACCGCGCCCACACTACCCACACGCTCAGCAAGCGCCTGGTGCCGCGCCGCCGCACCGTGGCCGCGTGCCGCGCGCACACCGCGCTGCTGCCGCTGCCGCTGCCGCAAGGTAACCGCGCCCACACTACCCACACGCTCAGCAAGCGCCTGGTGCCGCGCCGCCGCACCGTGGCCGCGTGCCGCGCGCACACCGCGCTGCTGCCGCTGCCGCTGCCGCAAGGTAACCGCGCCCACACTACCCACACGCTCAGCAAGCGCCTGGTGCCGCGCCGCCGCACCGTGGCCGCGTGCCGCGCGCACACCGCGCTGCTGCCGCTGCCGCTGCCGCAAGGTAACCGCGCCCACACTACCCATACACTCAGCAAAATAACTCTTGTCTTAACTGATTGTCATTCATAAATATCTAACACCTACTGTTCGCGCCAAATGCTAATTTCAAGATTCGACGCCAGGGGACGCGCAGAGCGGTGATTTCCTACCGTGTGACGTTTGCGCGAAATCGGATTGGTTGCTTGTGGGGCGGGCCGGAGGTGATTGAATGCAGTGCAGTCACTAACACGGCGTGAGGTCGTCCCGGTATAACCTCTATTAGGGTCGGTTTTGTTAGCAAATTTATGCAACGACGAGGATTTTGTTGAGTCTAGCAAAATAAACGCCGGGGCGATTAATTATTTGGAATTTAATATTGATTGCGACCAACGTCCGGTTTTTTGATGCGTGTGGGATTTACTATTGGAGTTTTCGCTTCTATATGTAGTTTGGTTATCTTAGTGCGTTCACACGATGACGAAACAGTAATATTAAATAAAAATACTTTTACGGATTTTATTTCACGTCAACTATGTGAAGCACCAACGTTCCGGGAAGTCTGCAGTTTGTGATCATATCCTAGACGGCCCCGCCATTACATTAGATTTGATAAACCACAAGTTCTCGCGAAAGAACATCGATTCCTGCCAAGGATGATACGTGAGGCTATTGAAATTAAAAAACATCCTAATTTCAATAAAGAAGGAGGCTGGATACTACCACCTGCTTGGGATCCTGTAATTCATAAAATTAAAACTAAACCCAAGCATACCACTGCAAGACTTCAAGATACAGTTAGTTCATTCTGCGTAAATCGGACCAAAATTAATAATTTAAAAAGCTGAAGGTACTCCGGGTTAACTTTGACATCGGGACTTCAATCACCTCAGTCCCCCGTGACCACGGTTGCTGAAAAGCTACCGAAACGTCGGGAATATAAAATAACTTAATTAAACGCGATAAAATCCGTAAAAGTAGTTTTATTCAATGTGTAGTGTCCGCGTAAATATAAGAAGCAGTAATAATTTGATTGATTAACCTAAATTCGTGGGCAAGTAATTTACGTAAATTGTATCGTGATTGCCGGTTGAAGTGCTTGACAATAATACTTTGCGTCGAGTTGTTGCTCGTGTAGCATTTGATATAGTTCGGAGACATTTTCCGTTGTCGGTTAAACGCTGAACCTTGTGACTCTAGAGAAGGTCGTGCTCGGTTATAGAAATAATCTTGTTGCTACGTGAAACGGAAGTGAACTTTGTTCCACCTTTTATTAGTCGTGCCGTGTGTTATTTTTTGATTACGATTAACGGGGATTTAGTTGAATTTGAAGTTAATTAAAGGTACAATAAGAGTTGGTGGATTGAAATCGTGTACAATAAAGTTGATAAACTGAGATAGTGAAATCAAGAAAGAAGTTGTCAATTGGTGACCGCCCCCTTTTGAGAGATCTCACCTTTGGAGTGGAGGCAGCGCCTGTGGATCTGCGGCCAGACTTCAACGGTCCAGTCAGGTCAACCATTATACACACCACTAAACACCACTGTACATGCACCTACACATACCTACGGCCTGACCGAGCCTTGGGACAGTCTTCGCCTTAGAACCAGGGACGTCCTATTTATTTACCTAGCCTCATCTCTATTGCGTCATAAGTTTCCATAGGCCGTTGGGCACGAATCCTCTGTTCCTCGTCGAGGGGATCACTCATGGGTCCTGGTCCAGTCGACTTTTGTCGGGGCAACTGAAGGCCGTAACACCTACTATTTTAATACAGTTGTTAAAAGTGGCGTATTGCAGGGACGTATAGCGTTCGGGATGTGGACTATTACATACTCGAGCTTTTTCTTTACCTTTTCCGAACTCGTGCGTTCTCTTTCCCAACTGTCAAAATAATGTCTATTAAAAAAAACCAACCACGAAGTTTTCACTAAAAAAAAAAATTATAGAAGTTTTTTATGCTTCATGCAAATATTTCTAAAAAGAAAATACTACTTTGTTTCAATTTGATTCAATGAATTAGGTTAGGTTTAATTTCATTTCATCTCATTAAATTTCATTTTCATTTCATATCAATAAAGAAATTCTACTGAAGACTTGGCTGTATGGGCATAGTTCTTAGTTCCCTTTGTCTACCCAGAATGGGTGAAGAAAACAAAAAAAAAATCTCTGATTATATTCTTTTACGGTTGGCGCCATATGCCAAAAATGCTCCTTGCGAGTTTAGTTGTTTGTAAATTGCTTCATTTTTTCGCAACTGTATTAAAAATAGTTGTTCAGTACACGTGCGGAACCGTCATTGCAACTTGTTTCGACTGTCAACCCTTACCTTCGGCTGCGCCCCGGCTCGGGTTGACATTTGTCGGAACTCTTTGCAATGAGAGGCTTTCCGCACTCGTAATGAAATGTACTATTTTTTACACACATACAATCGTAAGAGTCGTAGAGATATTTATATATCATAAGAGCGTAGTCCTTCCCCGGTCGAGCCAACCCATTCGTGCTACAACTATACCACTAATATAGCTGCAGCATGGCTCTACCACGTTTAAAATACATCTTCGACAAACTGTCTCCATTGGATTTAATATCATAATTATTTAGTGAAAAATTGTGTTTAAAAAATAACACAATTTTCATATAAAAATTGAAATGTGGCGGGTAGAAGGAAAAGGAGAGATCTCCTGCCGGGCAAGGTGTTTTGCCCGGGGAGCGGCCAACGCTCCGAGTGGTAGTTCGGTACTATTCTATATATACTGCTTTAATTTCGGAACTTTGATAGCGCGATTTAGGCTTCGATATGTGTTTCGCTTGTGGCTTGACGACAGCGCCGCCAAACCACCCACCTGCTCAGACCGGAGGTCGATAGTGCAGTCCGGTTGCCGGTTTGTCCTTAATGCCGAACGATATGCCAGTGTGTACTGCATGCTGTACTATGCACTTGCAAGTGATGTCGGTGAGAACGATGAGCTGGAGCAAGTGCCAGGGATTGCCTTGTAGTCTGCGGTGAGTCGAAAAGAAGGCAAGTAATCTGCGAGAGTGCCATGAAGCAGAGGCGAGCAGTAAGGCTCAGAGCCGGCCGAATACTGTAGCGCAGAGAGTAGCTGAAAGAAACAGGAAGCATTATTATTCCAGTGCTGCGATGAACTATTCTGCAGACAATATCTGCTCGGGAGTGAATGAATGGGGTACTTGAGTACGATGTCGAAAGCTTGAAGTTGTAGTTTTCTGAAGGTTGTTGGTTGCGTGTACATATCACGTCGGTTGATCACCATTGCAGCGGTTGGAAGGCAAAGCTGGTAAAGGGGAGATTTTCCGCCGGGCAAGGTGTTCTGCTCGGGGAGCGGCCAACGCTCTGAGTGGTAGTTCGGAGTTATTCTATATATATATATACTGCTTTAATTTCGAAACTTTGTTAGCGCGATTTAGGTTTAGATATGTGTTTCGCTTGTGGTGCGATGACAGCGCCGCCTCAGAAAGTTCAAATAAAGATTAAAAGCTTTATAGATAAAATTCTAGACAAATTCAACAAAAAGTTTTATATATATGTATAAATAATTATTTTTAAAACATATAACTTTGCTTATCAGAACGCAGTATATTAAATATAAATATAATATTGTTATTGAACGCATCCGTAATTATTTACATTCTTAAACAAGTAGTATATAATTACGTTTTACTACAGAAGTATAATCAAATACTATAGAAGATACTCAAATTTAATAAAAATTACTCTGTGGTATAACCACTACGTTTCCATATGTATTCATACTTTTTCTAAAGTCTAAATCAATTTTGTTTCTGGATCGAAATTAAAATCTAGACAGTGACAACCGTATAAAGTTATGTTAATTATTAGATACAGTAAGAAAAACTTTTCATTTTAAAATGCTACTGATTAAGAACATACCACATTACTTAAAAAAACATATTACATAATTATTAAGATTTTCCGTACTTTTAAAAATATATTTAATGTCGTACTTTGTTATAATTAAATAGACAAATGAAACGACATATTGTTATGTTTCATCAAGTTACATTATATTAGATTTTACTAGTTCAAGCATGGCAGGAATGTGGTTGTTGTTCTTTTTAAGTTTATATGATACTAAGTTATAATATTATATAAAACGTCTCAAAAGTACCACGATGCAGTAGAAGCGTGGTAAACATATGTAATGGGGTATTGGTTGCACGCACAGAGGAGGGCGGTGGCGGTGGCGGTGGCGGTGGCGGCGGCGAGGGCGGCGCGTGGGGGCTGGTGTCGTGGGGGCACGCGGACGGCGCGCTGCGGCTGCGGCGCCGCGCCGCGCCCGCGCCCGCGCCGCTGCTGCACGTGCCCCCCCTCGACCAGGTGCGCCCGCACGTGTCCAGTCACACGCACCACTACTCAAACCTAACCAAAATTCATTTTTAATACCACCGTCCAATTCATTCTATACGTCATTTTATCCAACAAAAGTTTATTTTCTCTCAAGGTAATACGTCATAATACACGTTACATAACCTACACTACTAATTTAATATAATATTCTAACTCATTCTCTCGCAGGATAAATCCTATAGATGTATATGCGTGTCTCTTTCTAGTGTCGCTTTTTCGTTTCTTAGCATTTCAAATCGCAACTATTCTATAGTTTATTTGAAAAAAACGTGTGTGCAGTTTACACGCGGTAGAAACGAAACCTTCACAAAACTGAACTTCAAAACTTAAACTAAGACTAAGAAAGTAAAGAATTAAATCGCACACACATAAGCGCGCGTACGTTTTTTTTTGCCATAAATCACATTCAATTTAGAATTATTTCAAATGATAATAGAAGCCTTACTAATACGAATAGTATTTTCAAAAACTGCAATAACGGTATATCATCTATATAAATAAAACAATAAAGGTTTGCAGTTATATGCGCGCATCACGGAACTACTAGATAAATTGCAATTGGGTTTTCTAACTTTTATTTCTTAGACACTTATCTAAAAAAAAATATTGCGATATCTTCATTTAATATAAAATTTTTAAAGTTTTAAATAACAAAGACTTTTTAAGCACTACGTGTTCAGTGTTATGTGTAAGCAAAGCGGACGAAATCTCGGGTATCAGCTAGTTAATTATATTTTTGAACATATACATAATTTTTTTTATAGGAGAGGGGGCAAACGTGCATGCGGCTCACCTGATGGTAAGTGACTACCGCCGCCCATGAACAACTGCAACACCAGAGGAATCGCAGATGCGTTGCCGGCCTTTTAAAAAGGAGTAGGCTCTTTTCTTGAAGGTCCCTAACTCGTATCGGTCCGAAAAAATCGCTGGTGGTAATCGATTCCACAAGGAAACCGATTCCGATCGTTGTGCAAGGGAGAAAACTTCTTCTGTATCGCACAGTGGTGGACCGCCAATCATCCAGATGATATGGATGGTATCGCGAGTTTTGTCGCGATGTGCGATAGTGAAATTGAGCGGCTGGAATTAGTCCGAACAAATACGCAAAGAGATGCAACATCTCTACGCAGTGCCAGTGACTCAAGCCGATCGGAAAGAACTCGGTCGTCGACGACTCGAACTGCTATGCGCTGGATGCGGTCAAATGGAAGGAGCTGGCTCTGGGAAGCCCCTGCCCAGAGATGGGGACAACCCACCACCTCCCATGGCCCCACCAACCTTGCGGTTATATGGGCCGAATCACGAGAGATGCACGCGGTACTTGCTCAGGGCTCTTTCCCGCATGCACTTTCTTGACTCTCTACAAGTTATTTAATCTACTCCTTGTCCCAGTTTGTCATTCTCCCCCTTCTGGGGCTGACAGCACTATTACGCCTACGTCGTCAGGCCTTTCTGCCAACATTCTGTCCTGCCTTATTCTTATGTCATGCCACCTGTGCGCAAATTCGCGCAACAGCCCGTAGTTCACCCCATCGCTGACGAGATCCGAGTAGTAAATCGGTCCTTGAACCGTACGAACCAATCCATCCATCATCTTCGCTCTTAGGTCGTCATATAGAGGACATTCCCATAGAACATGGTGAACGTCCTCCTCTATCGCACCACACTCACACATACTTGTTTCACACAGTCCCATTTCACTCAGTCTCTTTCGAAAACATCCATGCCCGGTGAGAATCTGAGAGGTTTGATAGTCCGGTGCGACCCAAGTATACCTGAGTCGCAACGCCACTTCCGGGAAAAACCGATAGAGCTCGCGTCCTTTTGATTCATTCGTCCATCGATCCTGCCAAACACCGATCACCTCAGTCCAAATTTCGCGCTTCCGTCTGCTCAACTCCTCTTTGGGCGCGGTCAAACGTGCAATACCCATCCTACCAGCACGGATGACCTCCAGGTCAGAAGGGAGAACGCCAGCCAGCACCGGTAAGGCCGCCGTACTGGTGGATCGATACGCCTTAGTCAGCAATATAAAGGCTGATCGCTGCGATCTCAGCAGTACGCTGCGAACTGTGTACATGTTCGCACGCTCGTACCAGCACTCCGCCGCGTACGTGAGCGTGGATACAAACACTCCTCTATATATTATTTTTAGGCTCGGGTATCGGACACCCCATGATGATGTTGATACGCGAGTCATCTTGCCGAATCCCTTGGTCGCTCTTTCAGAAATATCGGACGCATGTTGCACAAACGATAGTCCTGAGTCCAATACCACACCTAGTACCTTAGCATTAGTTACAGCCTTTACAGATTCTCCACCAAGTTTAATAACGGGGGGGCGCTGAAGTTTCCCTCTAATAGTCATGGTGGTCGACTTTGATGAGGAAAACTCCAGTCGATTCCTTAGCCCCCACTCCCGTACAAGGTCCAAAGTGACTCTGGCCCTGGATTCGATACCCAGAGATGGGGACAACCCACCACCTCCCATGGCCCCACCGACCCTCAGGTCATACGGGCCGAATCTCGGGAGATGCGCGCGGTACTTGCACGTGGCTCTTTCCCGCGCGCACTTTCTTGACTCCCTACAAGTTATTTAATCTGTTCCTTGTCCCTGTATTTACGTCATTCTCCCCCTTCTGGGGCTGACGGCACACTGACGCCTACGTCGTCAGTCCTGTCTGCCAACATTCTGTCGCTACTTCTCCTGCGGTCATGCCATCTGTGCGCAAACTCGCGCAACAGCCTGTAGTTCACCTCACCGCTGACGAGATCCGAGTAATAGACCGGTCCCTGAACCGACCGAACTAGTCCATTCATCATTTTCGTTCTTAGGTCGGCATACAGAGGACATTCCCATAGAACATGGTGAACGTCCTCCTCTATCGCACCACACTCACACATACTTGTTTCACACAGTCGCATTTCACTCAGTCTCTTCCGAAAGCATCCATGTCCGGTGAGAATCTGGGAGGTTTGATAGTCCGGTGAGACCCAGGTATACCTGAGTCTCAACGCCACCTCCGGGAAGAATCGATTGAGCTCGCGTCCTTTTGAGTCATTCATCCATCGATCCTGCCATACACCGATCACCTCAGTCCAAATTTCGCGTTTCCGCCTGCTCAACTCCTCTTTGGGCACGTTCATACGTGCCATACCCATCCTACCAGCACGGATGACCTCCAGGTCAGCAGGAAGAACACCAGCCAGCACCGGCAAGGCCGCCGTGCTAGTGGATCGGTACGCCTTGGTCAACAATATAAGGGCGGTTCGCTGCGATCTGAGTAGTGCACTGCGAACTGCGTACATGTTCGCACGCTCGTACCAGCACTCTGCCGCGTACGTAAGCGTGGATACATACACTCCTCTATAGATTATTTTTTTAGGCTCGGGTATCGGACGCCCCATGATGACGTCGATACGCGAGACATTTTACCGAATCCCTTGGTCGCTCTTTCAGAAATATCGGACGCGTGTTGCACAAACGATAGTCCCGAATCCAAAACCACGCCTAGTACCTTAGTATTGGTCACATTCTTGATGGATTCTCCACCAAGTTTAATAACGGGGGGGCGCTGAAGTTTCCCTCTAACAGTCATTGTGGTCGACTTTGATGAGGAGAACTCCAGTCGATTCCTTAGCCCCCACTCCCGTACAAGGTCCAGAGTGACTCGGGCCCTGGATTCGATACCCGCTCTGGTTTGTGATTCAATGAGAATAGTGACGTCATCAGCATAGGCGGTCATTGCTACTCCCTCAGGCAGAGGGAGTCGGAGTAGGTCGTCCATCAATACATTCCACAGTGTAGGGCCCAGCACGGAGCCTTGAGGACATCCCATGGTCGACGTCTTCCACTCTACCCGGTCACCGATGAAAAGGCCGACACGTCTGGAGGTGAAGTAATCCACCAGCATTTTGTAAATGTTGGGTGGACAACCACCTCGTTTCGCCTTAACCATCATCATCGGCCACCAGGCGTTGTCGAAGGCGCCGGAGATATCAAGAAAGATTGCCTGCACGTAGCATGCCCGAGAATACTTTGCCGTGCTGAGCAAGACACGCAGCGCTGTTACCGTAGATCGCCCCGGAGAAAATCCATGCTGGTATTCTGATATCCCACGACTAATCGCAGGAGCACATCTCAGCATTACGCGTTCTAGCAACTTTCCCAAAACAGGGAGGAGCGTAATTGGACGGTATGCCTTGGCGTCGGTGAGCGGCTTGTCATTACCCTTGGGAATGACAATCAATCTTCCGTCCTTCCATACCTTGGGAAAAACTCCCTCTACTACACACTTAGCATACACCAAGTGAAGTTCCCTTGGTGCTGCCATCCATATATTCCTCACGATTCTCGCACTTACCCCATCGAGTCCCGGAGCTGTGTTAGGCAAGGCCTTGACTATACCTCCCAGGTCCCCAACGGTGAGTGGAGGCGCAGCCCCACCAGACGGCACAAATGCCGCCAGCAAACGGACTTGTTGGTGATAAGCCGTGTCGCAATCAGGGCTATCATCCGGACAGAGCGTAGACATTAAATTTTGCATCGCCGCTTCCAGTCGGTCCGGATGCCCACCCGCAAAGGCAATCCCGTGAATTACATTAGCAGGCGGACGCACCCTCCCACTGGCTAACCTATATGACAGGCCCCACGGGTCCTCATTACCAGTGTTGGCGACCCTTATGTGCTGCGACTGCTGCGCCTCCACCATCATCTTCCTGTATCTCGCACGTATATCATGAAAAGCCATTCTTGCTATCCCCTCAGACCTACCTCCCAAACGCCTTTTACTCTGCCACGCACGCCTTAGTTTGCACTGCAACTTCCGAGTTTTCTCTAATTCAGATGTCCACCATTCATACCCCCCCGACCCCCTAGGGCGACGCTCCCCTAGGCCTTCCTCCGCACAGCGGGTGACCACCCCTGAAAACTCCTCCGCCAGGAGGGCCGCGGGTTTTTCCACATGCAACCATCCCATTCGTAACTTGACAATCGTCCGGAACCTGTACCAGTCCACCCCCCGGTCACGAAAACGGGGGGGATCCCTAACAGGTGTATCGCGAGTGCTAGGCCTGCTGGTGGTAGCTGTGAATGTGATGAGGTTGTGGTCACTGGCGCAGATCCCCTCGTGCACTCGCCACTCAGCAACATAAACATCACCCGTGGTTAATGTGAGGTCTACATTAGACTCCCCTCCAGACCCTGAGTAGGTGTAAGGCTGGCCAGGCTGGTTCACCAATGTTAATGCCTGTGAAAATATGAAGTCTTCCATCTGTTGCCTTCTGTGGGTGACATTTTGACCTCTTCCTGTATAGTGCCGTCTGTCACAATGGCAAAGTGGCGAGTGCGCGTTGGCGTCGAGGCCGACGATGACCCTTCTGCCCTTTAGGCAACTCAGGGCGCCCTCTAAGTGGTGCAGGTGCACCCAGAGATGGGGACAGTATTCCATGTAAGGCGGAACCTGCGCCTTGTAAAGTTGCAAGCGGTGCGCCCGCATGAAATACTGTCCCGCTCTGCTGAGCACGCCAAGTTTTTTAGAGGCCAATTTGGCCTTCTCTTCCAAGTGACCACGAAACTGCACGTCACTCGATATGTCAATACCGAGGATACCGATACTGGCTGAGGCAACAAGGGGAGTGCCTTGAAACTGAGGAGATATGACAAAGGGATTCTTTTTAGCGGTAAACGCGCAAACTTGTGTCTTATGGGGATTGAACTGGACTAGATTTAGTCGCCCCCAATCCGAGACTTTGTTCAGTAAAACTCGACTTCAGACACAAGTTTGTTCCGGTACTCGGTGACGTTTTCCCGAGAAATATTGGCACGGCCGGTGTATAAAGTATCACCAGTGCTGTCGTCCGCATAGCAATGAATGTTACTGGTTTGCAACATATCATTGATATGCAGAAGAAACAGCGTTGGTGATAGCACGCAGCCTTGTGGAACACCACCGTTAATGGGCTTATAATCGGAGCATGCACCGTCTACTACGACCTTGATGCTCCGATCTGAAAGAAAACTGGTGATCCAATTGCACAATTTCTCGAGAAACCCATAGGAAGGCAGCTTCGAAAGAAGCGCTTTGTGCCAGACCCGATCGAAAGCCTTCGCTATATCCAAACTAACGGCCAACGCCTCCCCCTTGGACTCCACTGCCTCCGCCCATCTATGAGTCAGGTAGACCAGAAGATCACCAGCTGAGCGACCTCGACGGAAACCATACTGGCGGTCACTAATCAGCTGATGATCCTCAAGGTACCACAAAAGCTGGCTGTTAATAATCGTTTCCATTACTTTGGAGAATAAGGAGGTGATAGCGATAGGCTAAGGACTAAGCTCGGAGTTTCTCTGCGTAATAAACTTAGAAATGAGGTTATCCGCAGTAGAACAGAGTAACTAACATAGGACAACTGATTAGTAAGCTAAAGTTGCAATGGGCCGGCCATATAGCTCAAAGAACCAACAAGCGATGGGGAAGCAATGTTCTGGAGAGGCAGCCTCATAGCAGTAGGCAAAGTATGGTGCGGCCTCTCACTAGATGGAGTGACGACCTGCTAAGATATGCGTCAAGTCGATGGATGCAGGTGGTTCAGGACCGTGTTTTGTGGCATTCTTTGGTGGAGGCCTATGTTTAGCAGTGGGCTTGTGAAGTACTGTAATGACGATAATGATGATGGTTAATTCCATTTCCCCTTTTGTCATTAGTGTGATTATGGTGATTTGTATTAAAGATATTATTGAAAATTATTTTGGGGTCACTAAAAAAACTTGTTCTATCCACATAATTATATCGTGTATTATACAGGGCTATTTTTATAAAGATTATCGAAATTTATTATTAACAGTGGTAGAGGCACGCGGCAGCTTTCGCTGTCGCACGGATGGGCCGGCTCGAACCGTGGTGGTACCACGACCTCACAGAATACCAGCGTGAAGTAGAGGCTTACCTCTGCGTTTCGCTTGGTGAGTGCAGGTGGCCGGAGGCCCTTTTTACTGGAAATGAGGCATTCCATCTTAGTCCTCACGGGTGACAACGCATCTACATTTTGTTTTGTAACAGAGGATAGATGTAGATGTCTATGGGCCGCAGCAACCACTTACCATCAGGTGGACTGTGTGCTCGTTTGTCACCCTTATCCTATATAAAAAAAAAGTATTCGCATATATCTCTAGTCTTAATTACTGTCCGCACTACCCGCTTCTTGTCACCAATTTGTTCCGTAAAGCTGTATTTGCGCAGTCACTCGCGACTAACTTCAGTCCGGCCAAGATAGGACTCTACAGTTACGTATTATCAAGCGTTTAGTTGTTCAATCATTTGCCAATTTGTTTTTATAGGTGCTCATCATTATTCATAAGTCCACTCTTGAACTTAGACTTCCCCAAAGAAATGCCAGGAAGCATGTTCCTGAGCCACCGTTAATCATTGACTTCCTGCATGTCTTACAAGGTCGTCACTCCACCTTGTGCGGGGTCGATCTACACTTCGCGTAACGGTACTAACTACCACTTGAGAACCTTTACTGAGTCGGTTGTCGGTACCTCAATCTTTATGGCCGGCCTATTGCCACTTCGGCTTACTGATCCGTTGTCCCATTATAACAGCTTTTTATTAGTACTTGTCACTATTACACAACTTAACGGAGTTATGGGCGTGCACAGATCACGGAGGTGTGCACGACGTGCGCGGTGGGCGCGTGGGCGTGGACGTTGTTCGTGGGGCTGGCGTCCGGGCGGGTGCTGGCGCTGCGGCTGGGCGGCGTGGCGGGCGGGGCGGGCGGCGAGGCGGAGAGCGGGGCGGGCGGCGGCGAGGTGCGGCAGCTGGCGGCGCACGCCGCGCCCGTGGCGGCGCTGTGCGCGTGCGCGCCCGCCGCGCTGCTCGTGTCCGCGGACCGCGCCGGCCGCATCGTGCTGTGGGACCTCAACCGGTGAGTGCGGCCAGCGGGCAGCGGGCAGTAGAGCGGGGAGCGGGGCGGGGGGCGGCGCTGTGCGCGTGCGCGCCCGCCGCGCTGCTCGTGTCCGCGGACCGCGCCGGCCGCATCGTGCTGTGGGACCTCAACCGGTGAGTGCGGCCAGCGGGCAGCGGGCAGTAGAGCGGGGAGCGGGGCGGGGGGCGGCGCTGTGCGCGTGCGCGCCCGCCGCGCTGCTCGTGTCCGCGGACCGCGCCGGCCGCATCGTGCTGTGGGACCTCAACCGGTGAGTGCGGCCAGCGGGCAGCGGGCAGTAGAGCGGGGAGCGGGGCGGGGGGCGGCGCTGTGCGCGTGCGCGCCCGCCGCGCTGCTCGTGTCCGCGGACCGCGCCGGCCGCATCGTGCTGTGGGACCTCAACCGGTGAGTGCGGCCAGCGGGCAGCGGGCAGTAGAGCGGGGAGCGGGGCGGGGGGCGGCGCTGTGCGCGTGCGCGCCCGCCGCGCTGCTCGTGTCCGCGGACCGCGCCGGCCGCATCGTGCTGTGGGACCTCAACCGGTGAGTGCGGCCAGCGGGCAGCGGGCAGTAGAGCGGGGAGCGGGGCGGGGGGCGGCGCTGTGCGCGTGCGCGCCCGCCGCGCTGCTCGTGTCCGCGGACCGCGCCGGCCGCATCGTGCTGTGGGACCTCAACCGGTGAGTGCGGCCAGCGGGCAGCGGGCAGTAGAGCGGGGAGCGGGGCGGGGGGCGGCGCTGTGCGCGTGCGCGCCCGCCGCGATGCTCGTGTCCGCGGACCGCGCCGGCCGCATCGTGCTGTGGGACCTCAACCGGTGAGTGCGGCCAGCGGGCAGCGGGCAGTAGAGCGGGGAGCGGGGCGGGGGGCGGCGCTGTGCGCGTGCGCGCCCGCCGCGCTGCTCGTGTCCGCGGACCGCGCCGGCCGCATCGTGCTGTGGGACCTCAACCGGTGAGTGCGGCCAGCGGACAGCGGGCAGTAGAGCGGGGAGCGGGGCGGGGGGCGGCGCTGTGCGCGTGCGCGCCCGCCGCGCTGCTCGTGTCCGCGGACCGCGCCGGCCGCATCGTGCTGTGGGACCTCAACCGGTGAGTGCGGCCAGCGGGCAGCGGGCAGTAGAGCGGGGAGCGGGGCGGGGGGCGGCGCTGTGCGCGTGCGCGCCCGCCGCGCTGCTCGTGTCCGCGGACCGCGCCGGCCGCATCGTGCTGTGGGACCTCAACCGGTGAGTGCGGCCAGCGGGCAGCGGGCAGTAGAGCGGGGAGCGGGGCGGGGGGCGGCGCTGTGCGCGTGCGCGCCCGCCGCGCTGCTCGTGTCCGCGGACCGCGCCGGCCGCATCGTGCTGTGGGACCTCAACCGGTGAGTGCGGCCAGCGGGCAGCGGGCAGTAGAGCGGGGAGCGGGGCGGGGGGCGGCGCTGTGCGCGTGCGCGCCCGCCGCGCTGCTCGTGTCCGCGGACCGCGCCGGCCGCATCGTGCTGTGGGACCTCAACCGGTGAGTGCGGCCAGCGGGCAGCGGGCAGTAGAGCGGGGAGCGGGGCGGGGGGCGGCGCTGTGCGCGTGCGCGCCCGCCGCGCTGCTCGTGTCCGCGGACCGCGCCGGCCGCATCGTGCTGTGGGACCTCAACCGGTGAGTGCGGGCAGCGGGCAGTAGAGCGGGGAGCGGGGCGGGGGGCGGCGCTGTGCGCGTGCGCGCCCGCCGCGCTGCTCGTGTCCGCGGACCGCGCCGGCCGCATCGTGCTGTGGGACCTCAACCGGTGAGTGCGGCCAGCGGGCAGCGGGCAGTAGAGCGGGGAGCGGGGCGGGGGGCGGCGCTGTGCGCGTGCGCGCCCGCCGCGCTGCTCGTGTCCGCGGACCGCGCCGGCCGCATCGTGCTGTGGGACCTCAACCGGTGAGTGCGGGCAGCGGGCAGTAGAGCGGGGAGCGGGGCGGGGGGCGGCGCTGTGCGCGTGCGCGCCCGCCGCGCTGCTCGTGTCCGCGGACCGCGCCGGCCGCATCGTGCTGTGGGACCTCAACCGGTGAGTGCGGCCAGCGGGCAGCGGGCAGTAGAGCGGGGAGCGGGGCGGGGGGCGGCGCTGTGCGCGTGCGCGCCCGCCGCGCTGCTCGTGTCCGCGGACCGCGCCGGCCGCATCGTGCTGTGGGACCTCAACCGGTGAGTGCGGCCAGCGGGCAGCGGGCAGTAGAGCGGGGCGGGGGGCGGCGCTGTGCGCGTGCGCGCCCGCCGCGCTGCTCGTGTCCGCGGACCGCGCCGGCCGCATCGTGCTGTGGGACCTCAACCGGTGAGTGCGGCCAGCGGGCAGCGGGCAGTAGAGCGGGGAGCGGGGCGGGGGGCGGCGCTGTGCGCGTGCGCGCCCGCCGCGCTGCTCGTGTCCGCGGACCGCGCCGGCCGCATCGTGCTGTGGGACCTCAACCGGTGAGTGCGGCCAGCGGGCAGCGGGCAGTAGAGCGGGGAGCGGGGCGGGGGGCGGCGCTGTGCGCGTGCGCGCCCGCCGCGCTGCTCGTGTCCGCGGACCGCGCCGGCCGCATCGTGCTGTGGGACCTCAACCGGTGAGTGCGGCCAGCGGGCAGCGGGCAGTAGAGCGGGGAGCGGGGCGGGGGGCGGCGCTGTGCGCGTGCGCGCCCGCCGCGCTGCTCGTGTCCGCGGACCGCGCCGGCCGCATCGTGCTGTGGGACCTCAACCGGTGAGTGCGGGCAGCGGGCAGCGGGCAGTAGAGCGGGGAGCGGGGCGGGGGGCGGCGCTGTGCGCGTGCGCGCCCGCCGCGCTGCTCGTGTCCGCGGACCGCGCCGGCCGCATCGTGCTGTGGGACCTCAACCGGTGAGTGCGGCCAGCGGGCAGCGGGCAGTAGAGCGGGGAGCGGGGCGGGGGGCGGCGCTGTGCGCGTGCGCGCCCGCCGCGCTGCTCGTGTCCGCGGACCGCGCCGGCCGCATCGTGCTGTGGGACCTCAACCGGTGAGTGCGGCCAGCGGGCAGCGGGCAGTAGAGCGGGGAGCGGGGCGGGGGGCGGCGCTGTGCGCGTGCGCGCCCGCCGCGCTGCTCGTGTCCGCGGACCGCGCCGGCCGCATCGTGCTGTGGGACCTCAACCGGTGAGTGCGGCCAGCGGGCAGCGGGCAGTAGAGCGGGGAGCGGGGCGGGGGGCGGCGCTGTGCGCGTGCGCGCCCGCCGCGCTGCTCGTGTCCGCGGACCGCGCCGGCCGCATCGTGCTGTGGGACCTCAACCGGTGAGTGCGGCCAGCGGGCAGCGGGCAGTAGAGCGGGGAGCGGGGCGGGGGGCGGCGCTGTGCGCGTGCGCGCCCGCCGCGCTGCTCGTGTCCGCGGACCGCGCCGGCCGCATCGTGCTGTGGGACCTCAACCGGTGAGTGCGGCCAGCGGGCAGCGGGCAGTAGAGCGGGGAGCGGGGCGGGGGGCGGCGCTGTGCGCGTGCGCGCCCGCCGCGCTGCTCGTGTCCGCGGACCGCGCCGGCCGCATCGTGCTGTGGGACCTCAACCGGTGAGTGCGGCCAGCGGGCAGCGGGCAGTAGAGCGGGGAGCGGGGCGGGGGGCGGCGCTGTGCGCGTGCGCGCCCTCCGCGCTGCTCGTGTCCGCGGACCGCGCCGGCCGCATCGTGCTGTGGGACCTCAACCGGTGAGTGCGGCCAGCGGGCAGCGGGCAGTAGAGCGGGGAGCGGGGCGGGGGGCGGCGCTGTGCGCGTGCGCGCCCGCCGCGCTGCTCGTGTCCGCGGACCGCGCCGGCCGCATCGTGCTGTGGGACCTCAACCGGTGAGTGCGGCCAGCGGGCAGCGGGCAGTAGAGCGGGGAGCGGGGCGGGGGGCGGCGCTGTGCGCGTGCGCGCCCGCCGCGCTGCTCGTGTCCGCGGACCGCGCCGGCCGCATCGTGCTGTGGGACCTCAACCGGTGAGTGCGGCCAGCGGGCAGCGGGCAGTAGAGCGGGGAGCGGGGCGGGGGGCGGCGCTGTGCGCGTGCGCGCCCGCCGCGCTGCTCGTGTCCGCGGACCGCGCCGGCCGCATCGTGCTGTGGGACCTCAACCGGTGAGTGCGGCCAGCGGGCAGCGGGCAGTAGAGCGGGGAGCGGGGCGGGGGGCGGCGCTGTGCGCGTGCGCGCCCGCCGCGCTGCTCGTGTCCGCGGACCGCGCCGGCCGCATCGTGCTGTGGGACCTCAACCGGTGAGTGCGGCCAGCGGGCAGCGGGCAGTAGAGCGGGGAGCGGGGCGGGGGGCGGCGCTGTGCGCGTGCGCGCCCGCCGCGCTGCTCGTGTCCGCGGACCGCGCCGGCCGCATCGTGCTGTGGGACCTCAACCGGTGAGTGCGGCCAGCGGGCAGCGGGCAGTAGAGCGGGGAGCGGGGCGGGGGGCGGCGCTGTGCGCGTGCGCGCCCGCCGCGCTGCTCGTGTCCGCGGACCGCGCCGGCCGCATCGTGCTGTGGGACCTCAACCGGTGAGTGCGGCCAGCGGGCAGCGGGCAGTAGAGCGGGGAGCGGGGCGGGGGGCGGCGCTGTGCGCGTGCGCGCCCGCCGCGCTGCTCGTGTCCGCGGACCGCGCCGGCCGCATCGTGCTGTGGGACCTCAACCGGTGAGTGCGGCCAGCGGGCAGCGGGCAGTAGAGCGGGGAGCGGGGCGGGGGGCGGCGCTGTGCGCGTGCGCGCCCGCCGCGCTGCTCGTGTCCGCGGACCGCGCCGGCCGCATCGTGCTGTGGGACCTCAACCGGTGAGTGCGGCCAGCGGGCAGCGGGCAGTAGAGCGGGGAGCGGGGCGGGGGGCGGCGCTGTGCGCGTGCGCGCCCGCCGCGCTGCTCGTGTCCGCGGACCGCGCCGGCCGCATCGTGCTGTGGGACCTCAACCGGTGAGTGCGGCCAGCGGGCAGCGGGCAGTAGAGCGGGGAGCGGGGCGGGGGGCGGCGCTGTGCGCGTGCGCGCCCGCCGCGCTGCTCGTGTCCGCGGACCGCGCCGGCCGCATCGTGCTGTGGGACCTCAACCGGTGAGTGCGGCCAGCGGGCAGCGGGCAGTAGAGCGGGGAGCGGGGCGGGGGGCGGCGCTGTGCGCGTGCGCGCCCGCCGCGCTGCTCGTGTCCGCGGACCGCGCCGGCCGCATCGTGCTGTGGGACCTCAACCGGTGAGTGCGGGCAGCGGGCAGTAGAGCGGGGAGCGGGGCGGGGGGCGGCGCTGTGCGCGTGCGCGCCCGCCGCGCTGCTCGTGTCCGCGGACCGCGCCGGCCGCATCGTGCTGTGGGACCTCAACCGGTGAGTGCGGGCAGCGGGCAGTAGAGCGGGGAGCGGGGCGGGGGGCGGCGCTGTGCGCGTGCGCGCCCGCCGCGCTGCTCGTGTCCGCGGACCGCGCCGGCCGCATCGTGCTGTGGGACCTCAACCGGTGAGTGCGGGCAGCGGGCAGCGGGCAGTAGAGCGAAGAGCGGGGCGGGGGGCGTAGCTGTAGCATTTTCAAACAAATACGATTCAGTCTTTCGTCAAAGATTTTTTCGTTGACTGCACATGATAAGGTTACCGTTTGAAAAATAAATTATTTTGTAAACTTCACGTTCATATATTTTCTATTATATCAACTGGCGCAGTAGCTTAGCAGTGAGACAGCGCTGAGAGCCACGTGATTGAATCCCGCACGGACCAATCATTTATATGACCTACAAATAATTGTATTGAATCTGAATATTGTGGAATTGATATATGGAATATTAATATTTTTATGAAAAAAGAAAAACAAAAATCTATCTTTTTTTACTTATTATAAGCCACTGCTTGAATACAATCCCACCTGATGGCAAGTGGTGAGGAATCCTAGATGGTGAATCGCACTGTCTTAACGTAACAAAAGTCTAAAAGTATTCACTCTTGCCTTGAAGACACCTCTCACAGATTACCAGCGTGAAGTAGCAGTTTAATGTTGAATTGTTTCAGTTTATTCTTAATTAAGCATTGACTTACTCGTTTCGTTGTTTGTTGTGCTCGTTTTTCACACTTATTCTGTAAAAAAAAATCATCCATTGATCAACCAATCGTTCGCATCTCAGACTAACATACATCCGCACGCTGCCGAACCGCGAGCGGCTACCCGTGACGCACGTGGCGGTGAGCGAGACCCTGAGCGACGTGGCCACCGTGCACGAGCTGCGGCCGCGCGCTCGCACCGGCGCGCAGCGAGACGACACCGACGAGCCTGCAGATGCAGACGTGCAAGCTGACGCAGACGTCGACTCTGACACATATGAACGGGATGCCATAGACAAATACCAGTCCTTGATACGCGTGCACACGGTCAACGGACGCTTCGTCGGTAAGTAATGTTCACGCGGTAGAGCCATGCAGCAGCTATATTAGTAGTATAGTTGCACGAATGGGTCGGCTCGACCGGGGAAGGACCACGCTCTCACAGAATACCAGCGTAAAATATCAGCTTAACACTGCTATGTTTCGTATGGTGAGTGCAGAGAACCGGAGACCCTTTTTACTGGAAACGAGACATTCAATCTTAGTCCTCACGGGTGGCAATGCCTCTGCATTTTGATTAGCAAACGAGGATAAATGTAGATGTCTATGGGCCACAGCAACCACTTACCATCAGGTTTCTTCTCGTTTGTCACCCTATAAGTACTATAAAAAAAATCTTATTTGATAAATATCTCTAAATCACTCATGGTTAATGACAGTCATAAAATAATTTAAACATATTTTACTGCAATAAATTATTTACCCATAGTACCGAAAAAAATGAAATCGTTTGTGCTTATGACTACACGATAGAAGTGAAAACAAAAACCAACAAATTATAGTACGTAATAACAAAAACGCAATTATTGGAACGATGCACTCCTCGTCCGAGTAGACTCGATTCAGCGTTACCGACCCGAGCGTGACGGTTCACATTCGTTCACCGAACACTTCAGAAAGAATGTGTGTAAAGAAGTTTTTACTTCGAAGAATTGGGATGTGGCTGTGCCTTGGTCACAGCTGTCTGTTTTACCTGAATACATGAAGCGTAACGTTCTCAAATTAATGGCGCTTTACTGCGCACGATGCTTCATAGTCCACACTATCTTTTAGCTATCGTATGGTGTGATTAAATTTTGCATGTAGACGATAGATATGTAATTGCAACACCAACCCCCGATTTTGTTATCATCACTTTTCTGATTTGCTTTCCACATCATAAGACATGCACAATGTCGATGGATGAAGGTGGCTCAGGACCGTGCTTTGTGACATTGCTTGGGGGAGGCCTATGTTCAGCAGTGGACTTGTGAAGGACTATAATGAATTAATGAATGAGTGAATGGAAGTAAAATTAAAAATATATTGACGTCGAAAACAGGCAGCGTGAAGGTGCCGGAGGTGGTGACGTGCGTGTGCTACTCGAACGCGCCAGAGGGCGCCAGTGTGAACTGCGTGGCGGCGGGGCTGCGCTCGGGCGAGGTGCGGCTCTACAGCAGCTGGGAGCTGCGGCCCGTGCGCACGCTGCCGCCGCCGCACGCCCCGCCGCACGCGCCGCCGCCGCTGCTCAGGTGCGATCCCACCTTTACATGACACATGCACGTTCACTCGGGTGCGCCCCCACATTTACATGACACGTGCACGTTCACTCGGGTGCGCCCCCACCTTTACATGACACGTGCACGTTCACTCAGGTGCGACCCCACCTTTACATGACACATGCACGTTCACTCGGGTGCGCCCCCACATTTACATGACACGTGCACGTTCACTCAGGTGCGACCCCACCTTTACATGACACATGCACGTTCACTCGGGTGCGCCCCCACATTTACATGACACGTGCACGTTCACTCAGGTGCGACCCCACCTTTACATGACACGTACACGTTCACTCGGGTGCGCCCCCACCTTTACATGACACGTGCACGTTCACTCGGGTGCGCCCCCACCTTTACATGACACGTGCACGTTCACTCGGGTGCGCCCCCACCTTTACATGATACGTACACGTTCACTCGGGTGCGCCCCCACCTTTACATGACACGTGCACGTTCACTCGGGTGCGCCCCCCCCTTTACATGACACGTGCACGTTCACTCAGGTGCGACCCCACCTTTACATGACACGTACACGTTCACTCGGGTGCGCCCCCACCTTTACATGACACGTGCACGTTCACTCGGGTGCGCCCCCACCTTTACATGACACGTGCACATTCACTCAGGTGCGCCCCCACCTTTACATGATACGTACACGTTCACTCGGGTGCGCCCCCACCTTTACATGACACGTGCACGTTCACTCGGGTGCGCCCCCACCTTTACATGACACGTGCACGTTCACTCGGGTGCGCCCCCACCTTTACATGACACGTGCACGTTCGCTCATGCAGGCACGTCTGTTAGTTTCTCTCTAATCTTCATCTACAAGAGGCAAGGTTCCTTTTCTGCAAGAATCTGAGTAGATACGACCACCTTACCTATTTCTGGTGCCAAATTTTGTGTTGTTTAATAAGTAGGTGTATTGTAAGTGAGTTTATCTTTTGAAAAATATGTAATATCCTCTTTTTCTCATCACTAATTCGTTGACAATTCATTACTGGACACGAGCACCTTCCATGATAACGAGAATTACGATAATGTAGTCGTTACATTTTCTAAGCAGACTGATCTTAAAAGTTACTGTCGAACGTGCAATGTGACAACTGTGATGGTTATTCTACTTTCTGTCGGCGATCAAAAGATCTTTAATTTTTTTAAATAACTTTTTACAATGTTTCAATTCACTGTTTAGTGACAGTGCAAGAGAATACATTACCTCACATCATCCCATAGATATCCACCTAAAGTAAGAGACGACAGAAGGAAATGAAACAGCAGATTTGCAGTCAACTCGTCAGCCAAAGTGTGGTAACTATGGATGATATTCCCATATAAGGTCTATACAAATATGTATGGGAGAGGTTTATGTTCAATTTCAGTGGAATATTGACAGGATGTAATGAATGTTATTCTCTTTCATACGGATGTATATAATAATAATGTTCTCCAGACCGAATTTTGATTACGGCGATTTGTCTTGACGGTGGCTAGCCATCTGTGCGGGACAGAGTTTTATGCCCGAGTGTATGCGCAAGCACAGGTGCACTCTCTATTCCCTCACTCTTAATCCGATGGGACGGCAAACCGACGCAAACGTAGAGATTAGATTCTGGACCAACGTGCTTTCCGAGACATGAGAGTATGATACGGCGCCAACTATTTGATTGCAAGATGCTATTGAGAATTTTTTGATAGTAAAGCTCAATAACTAATTTTTGATCTGGCTTGGGATTCGAACCCGAGACAGCAGCACTAGTCGCGCTTACCATCGCTAGATCAATAAGGTAGTGTGATAATTCATACATCCATCCATTACAGCTTATAAACGTGTACTGCTGAACTGTATTGTTGCTGCGCTCGGCAGGCGCGTTGACAACCGTAGTCTTTATTATTGTGATTAATTATTAGTAAGGTGTTGCTGCTGATTTCCTACTGTTGTCCTATGTGGCCTCTTACGTCACTTATATGATATGGGGTAGTGAATTTACACTGGCACTGCACGGTGTACAGAGTTGTGTCCATATTGAGACGGGTTGGTGTGTGGTGTTGGTTGTGCAGCGTGGCGTTCAGCGCGGACTCTGCGGTGCTGTTCGCGTGCTACGCGGGCGGGCTGCTGCTGGCCTGGGCGCCCGAGCCCGCCGCGCGCCCCGCGCCCCGCATGCTGCCCGCGCACGCGCTGCTCTAACGCACGCACGCACGCACGCACCTCTACACCGCTAATCTACGCAATAAGAAGACCAACCACGAATTAACGCTAGCAGAGCGTTTAAGTAGCGTACGCGCTGCTCTAACGCACGCGTACGCACACACGCACGCACGTGCTTACCACTAATATACGCAACAGAAAACTAACGCACGCCCATGACCAATTAAGGATGTATTTAGTGGCGTACGCTTCAATTGTTGGGTTTTTGTCGATACCGTCTATTTTAAAATCTAAATATCACTTTACTTGAGTATCACGACGATTCACTCTTATTTACTTTAAACGAACAACTTGCAACAATTCTATATATGATAATAGATTCGATGTATACAGTCGTAGATGGTAAATAAGTCAACATTACATATTTTCAAACTTACGCAAAGTACATAAGTACATATCTTACACATAAAATCTTATTCTAATTCTTACGACCACTGATAGTTATTAGATTATCTACATGATAATAAATCCAATGTATACCGTCGTGGTGGTAAATAAATTAAAATTATATATATTAAACTTACACAATATGGTATATAAATACATTTATCTTGCACATAAAATTTTACAGTTCGACATTAACGACCACACACAATTATCAACACAACAAAAGATAATTAAAAATAAACCTTCAATACAACATCGGTTTTCTTAACACAAACTAAAGAGTCTGTGCAACAAAAAGTTAATATTTTTTTACATACACACGGATTTCTAAAATTCCAAAATTAAATTCCAAAAAATTTGAATGTTCCATCAGATTATACACAAAATGCAATTTTTGTAATTTCATTGCATTTATACTAAACCAAAGTATACGATACGATCTGATATAAGTATTTAGAAGGATTTTAACCTCTTATATAATTTAAAAATATCAATTTAGTAACCTTTGTTCCTTATTATAAAACAAAGTAAAATATATCTTTAATAACAACAACTATTCAATTATCATTTGAAATGATTTTTTCCTATTTGATTCAACTAACTGTATTAATATATTATAAAAAAATATAAAAATAAACAGGGTCTTCCTAACGATATCTCATAAAGCAATATTTTGTGGATTTTAATAAATTTGTGTCTTTTATATTTTTTAAGAAAAAATATATTTCATTCACTATGTGAACTTTGTAAATATGATGCCTGATATGCCTTAAATCGTATTTTAATATTAAAATATAAGAAGTTAATTTTCGCAATTAAGTGATATTTTAACAGCCCCAAAGGTAATATATACATTAGAAACGAAATAAAATATACCTAAACTACTTATTTAGAAATGTACACACTGTTAACTTCTATCACGCATTTTACAATCCGTGCTAATTAACTAGGCACCGCGGGCCCTCTCCCGCTTCGCAGAACTGTACGAGTGACGTCACAGCGCCATGTGCCAAGTTAAATCGCGCAGGTTATAGGTACACTAAATATAGCATTATACAAAAGTTAATTGATTATTTTCTTAAATATTTTGTAGAAGATTGGTTATAATTTATAGTATCTAGGTAAGTAAGGTAAGGCAGGCAAGTTCCTCATATTATATGATGCCTTTCTTTAAATTGTGTGCTGAGATAAACGTGGTGCTCTTGTGGATAGGATGGAAGTTTTAAAATGGAATGAAATAATACACTTGTTTTAATGATAGTAAAAAAACAAACATTCCCGATAATCAATAAATACTCAGTAACGATTATTATTTATATTTTGTTATGAAATAGAAAACTTCTTTTTTAAAATAAAAACTTCTTTGAAAAGGTAAATAAATTGTTGGCGCGATAGATTGTCAGACATCATGAAACTCAATGTAACATATCGTAAGAATATTTTCGTTATAGTTTATGATTGTATATTTTTGTCGATGTGATGTTAAGAAGTTTGTTAAAGGTTAAAAATAAATCAAATTTATATATTTTTCTTGTTTTCTTTATATTTAATTTTCAATGATATTCTTTTTCAACAAAATTGAATAATTATTGCAAGTCCCATTGTTATTATTATTAATAAACAGAAACCAGTGATCTATTATTAGTTATTAATAAAATGCAAATTCCCAGTGATTGTGGCTAGCTACTGTGCTGCGTGTCCTGAATTCTGATACCAACCGGGGAAAATATTCCTGAAAAAATATAAATTGTTGGTTTTCGTCATGCTACGACCGAAACTCCAGCTTCGACTTAGAGCATTTTCAACAGCACATTCGGCCTTAACATACTGCATCTATATTGGTCAGCTCGATCAGGGTAGAACCACGCTTCCACAGAATACCAGCGTGAAACAGTAGAGTAATGATGCCATATTTCGTTTGGTGAGTATAGATAACCGGAAAGCGTTTAATTTTTTTTCTTACATTACAAGAAATATACAAGAACATTAACATCTTAAAGAAATACTTTAAGATGTTAATGTTTGACGTAGTAATGGTCGAACACTACTACGCTAAATCATAAAGATTAATCAAGATAACTAGTTGTTAAACTGGCAAATTGGTATGGTTTGCCATTTTAGGTGTGTTACGCAATTAGGCTACGGATTTAATTTTTATAATTATATGAAATAAGTACAAACTCATATTAGTAAAAATATCGATATCAGCTGCCCATATTGCTGAGTTACAACCCTATAAAAGGCGGCCATTTTATGCGCCAGATTTGTTTAGGTACTCACACTAATTCTGTAGCCAAGCCCAGTCGATATACTTCTAAGCTTCTAAGTCAGTGCCATAAACATAAAGAAAGACATCAAAACTTCAAAAGACAAGTGGTAAGTGCTGCCAGCTCAAAAAAATATTTCATGCCAAATCTATGTTTAGAAAATGCTCAAATTATACTTAATTTTTCGTAAAATGCTAAATTTTCTATAGGAACTGAATTGTTTTAATCTGTTAAAAGAAAACAATGATAAATCGCTAAATACGTAGGTATGCTTCAAAAATATATCTATACATATAATAAAAATGTAAATAGCAGATGTCTGTACATTTTATATTTTTGTAATAAAAGTGATTGAGAAGTACTAAAAATAAGTAATTAAATACATTTCTACCATTTTTAGATTTTTCTGTCTGTCTGTCTGTCTGTTTGTTTGTTAACGTATCACGTATAAAGTACTAATTTATATCATAAGAATAGTTAAGGAAATTATTAAGTGTATATTCAGGTTACATTTAGTCTTTATTTCATTAAAATTGGTTAATTCCATCAAAAGTTATGACAAATATTCTGAAGTATGGGTACTAAGTATAGGTACGAATTTGTTCAATAGTGGCGTTGGATGAGTCATCAAGTACATTTTAAAATTAATATCATATTATAAATCATAATCAAATGATGTAAAATAATGTTCTATAATGATATAATTATATCTAAAACGCAGTAAACAAAAGTATTACATAAAGAACGTAATAAATATATACAAAATATATTAACCTTATTATCTAAACTAAATTAAAGTACAATAGTTAACCAATTTCATCGATAGATGGTGGTGTGGCATAAATGTGATACAAAAAGGCAGGTTAAAATTTATTTCTGTAGTTGAGTTTCATATTTGCTTCTAACCTTTATATTAATGACACGCTGCCCTACTGCGTGTTGACAATCTCATTTATTTTTTATTTTTTACCGCCGAGTACCCTATGTGGTAAATCAAATTTTAAGAGCTATTAACAATTTCTTTTTTCGGCGAAGATCAAACTTTCTTTTTTGCTTACTATGCAGGCACTGATTTATAAGTTCTTTTATGTTTTTTATTGTATCAATCGTGTGAATTAATCTCTTATTTTTAGAATTGATGTTAACAGCGCCATCTCTCTTAAATCTATACATATAATAAAAATGGTAATAACATGTTATGTCTGTTTCTGAATATTGTATAGTATATTAATTTCAGACTAAAATCATTATGGGGACTGTAAATCATTAAATAAGTACATTTTTATAATTTTTAGAATTGTACTATCTGACGGTCTGTCTGTTTGTTTATGGACGCATGACGTTTTGAGTAAACATCTTTTTTTCAATGAAATCCTTAAGAAAATCATAAAGCGTATTATCAAGTTCATTTAATCTTTGTTTTATTGAAATTGGTTAATTCTATCGAAAGTAATGATTATTATTTTGAAATGTAGGTTCGAATTTGTTTAATGGCGCCACAAAATCCCAGAAATAGTAATAAAAAGATTCGTGTGTAAAAAAAACGTTCTATTATAATATATTTCGTATCGTTCTATTATAGTACTTAAAACACAGTAAAAATATGTTTTCCTTAAATTAAAAAAGGATGTTTTCTCACAAAGAACGTAATAGATGGCGTTGTACAAATTACAACCTTTTCTGAATTGCGGTGTTAAGATTTTTCGCAGGTGAATCGTATTGAGACTCACTGTAATAATTCATGTCCGTGAGTCTCACGAAGTTGCAAGCCTGTAAGGTATACTCGACTAAAAGTAGCAAAATTGCAATAAATGTTGTGATAGTGATATTGTTTTATACCCAGAATCCCACTAATACCAAATAACTTTTTTTCAGTTTTAAGTAAAGTAAAGATGCAGCCTATTTACGTCCCACAGCTGGGCACAGGCCTCCTCTCATTTCTGAGAGGGTTTTAGGGCAAGGAAATGTCCACCGCGCTGCCCCAATACGTGTTGGCGAACTTCACATGTCATCGAAATATTTTTTTTTATTTCTCAAACATGCAGGTTTCCTCACGATGTTTTCCTTCACCGCCGAGCACGTGGTAAATCAGCACTTAAAATTGCAATTAACAATTTCATTGGTGCCGGCGGGGATCGAACCCGGGTTACTGTGAAGCTTACAGCGAGCGCTAACCATCTGAGCTACCACGGCTCAGGCTTCAGTTTTAAGATAGGGATAATAACATCGATGTTGGCATCGCTAGCTCAACATCGATGTTCGATGTTTTGGCTACTCAAAACATCGATGTTGACCATTATCGATGGTTTTTGTATACGTGTAGAT